TCACAGAACTGACATAGACTTTCCTCAAGGAAGGAGTAAATCACAGGCAGGAGCCTGCTCTGCAAGGTGAGATGTCTGTTCAGGTTTGTTTGATTGTTTTTTTTTTTTAGCTGTTTTCTCTGTTGTATAATTCAAACAGAAATTCTTGTGTTCTTGTGTGTTGGCTCATAAAGATCTGACTTCATTGAAGAGGTCATCTTCGGTAGTCCTTACATCATTCTCTTTGTTGTTCATAGTTTTGAAGAAGTTACTGTGTCTGCTCTTAGTCATAATTTTAATGTGATACATGCACCGGTTAACATGGAAAAAATAATTGCTAATTGTTTAGTAATTTGTCACGCAGCTCAATTCCTCTTAACTACATTGAAAACTTATTAACATAAAGCTGAATCTATGAAGTGCAGTTTCTAAACACAGTGGTGATCTGGGACTGGAAGCCACAATGGGCTGTTACAACCCCAAGTGATTGGTGTGTTTTGAAACATACCATTGGGAGCTTTGCTGAAGGAGATCGGCTTCTCTGGCTTTGACAATTTGCTGTTGCCATATGCAATCAGAGGTATGTATTGTGTAATGAGTGTAATTTGGTTACAGAGCAGTTGGCTATCCTCAGCTACGTATCTTTGTGTCCGTCTGAAATCGAGTTACTTGATGCTAAGAGTGAGTGTTGGGTCAGTAGAGTATTTGCAGACAGATTAGACAGCCCAGCTCTCCCTTGCAGTGATATAATTGATAGCAAATGAGAAAAGTAATGTTGTTTAAATTCTTAATTTAAAACAGAGCCTATGTCTGAGATGTTACAGAAATAAACACGGGAGAGGTTTGGAACTGCTGGCAACTGTGAGCTGAAAAGCCTGGGGGGCTGCAGCAAATCTGGATGACGTGTTCTGAGTAAACACACACATACATCACACAATATACACCTAAATGTTTCTCAGCCAAGGTTTTAGATGGCAAATAAATACTATGCAAACTTTGGTAGGTGAAGTTTTAAAGAACAGTGAATTACTGAACTTGCAAAGCCTTGGATTCTCATTGGACAAATGTAAGGGTATCCATGAAAACTTCTGATGCCTTTTGCATGTTTGCATCATGACTGAGTGCCAGTCACATCAGCACACATTACTTTTTTCCCACAGGGTTATCTCTGAACACCTGATGTACAGTTCAGATGCTCTGAAGACCATCATCCCCTAATGTTTTACACTGTGTGAAGTCAGCGTGTGCTTTTGAAATTATGTTCTCGATGTTTCCATTCTCTGTCTGTAAAATACAAGTAATGCCTCTTCACAAAGGTGATGTGAGGCTGACTTAAAGTTCACAAAGGTTGGTTTTCCAGAGGAAAAAAAAAAATGGAAGATGGTCCCTGGCGTTTGGAGCAAGGTGTGTGTAAATGAACACAGGGCCGTATGGGAGAAAAAGGAATGGAGCTCCTGCCTGTGTGTGAGCTTCCTTCCATCAAGTGAAACAAGGCAAGAATCCTCTGGAAGAAAAATAGTAGATTTGTACTCTAAATGAGGCCAGACCCACAGTTACTTCTCAGTGCAGACCTCACGGGTCCTCAAATTACAGGATGTGCTTCCAGGAATAGATGTTATATATATGTAGCCTGGAGATGCCAGCGCCGCGAAAACGGAGTGTGCTATGTGGCACCAGGAGATGCGATTTCATCTGGCTCCTGGCTGGGGGTCCAGTAGGAGGGGAAGATAGAAGGCATCTGTCTGGGGCTGGCATTGCTGCTTCTGTCTGTGTGACGGCAAAGAATGCCTCAGAGTACAGCACGCTCTTATAAAGCAGACCGAAAGAATGAGTGTGTATGTATGATTTCCAAACCTGCTAGCTGTTTGAAATGTACTTTGGGGTCTGTTGTGTTGCTTGTTTTTTTGTTGGTTTGGTTTTTGTTTTTAAAGGGAACAAGTACCTCATTGGAAAACTAAAAGATTCCAGTCCTGGATGCCCATGGGAGCATCCTGAGGACAAAGCCATCAATCCCACTTGTCTGTAACAGTATCTGCCACGTGTCGGCCGCGGTGCTGGAAGGTCACTCTCAGCCGGGCTCTGCCAAAATGTGAGCAGGGCAATGGCATTGCATGGGGGATTTGGAAATGTGGGTGTCCCATCTAGACACAGAGAGAACAAAAGGCTGCTCTTTTGGTTTGTTTTGCAAGTATTTTCAAGTGGCACGTGTACTTCATTGCGGTTTCCCCTGATGCTGTTTGCAGCTATAATTGCTGTAAGCGGGCTGGATAGGAGTCTGTGAGGGGGTTCCAGCATCTGTGCAGTCGGTGTCAGTTTGTCTGCAGCCTCAGCTCATGGTGGAGAAGCAGAGCAGGTATCTGAGGCTGTACCGTGGTGAGTCCTAGTGCCCGTGCTAGCTCTGACTGCTTTAGAGTCTCCTGCACGTGGAGGTGTTTGGGACAGGGCCTGCCGTGCAAGCTGTGCAGGACACATGGTGTGTGCGATGTGCTGAGAACAGCCTTGGGTGCTCTGCGCTGCCCCAGCTCCGGCGGCGTAGGCCTGCATGTCCCCGGCACGTGCCCCAGTGTGTTAGTCATGTTTCTGAAGGACAGCGAGTGAAACCTCCTCTGTGCTAAAGTCATCCTCTGAGTTTTCTTCCTGTGGGCGAAGCAGTAGCAAATTTCTGCGTGCTGCAGTGTCTGTGTGTGGGCAAAGAGCTGTGCAGAGGCCGCTCCTGCTGTGTGAGTGCTGCAGTAAAACCCCCCGGCAGACTTTCAGGTGCCAGCAGCCAGGCTGATCACCGGCAGCCTTCATTGAGGGTCCATGAAAACGCGTCCCATTAAAAGTGAGATGAAGGATGCAGAAAGTGACATAAACAGGAGGGCTCGAGAGCAGCCTTTGTTTCTGTCCCCAGCGCAGCTCAGCGTGGTCTGGAACAGCATGGTGTCCCCAGCCAGGAAAACAGCCCCTCTATTCTGAACTTCCCTGACCTTCCTCGTTATTTCAGTCTCATTCTCTGGAGTTCAAGGTACTGGCTGTGCTTCAGGAATTCAGGCGTATAAACACTCATCGGGTTGGCTGGCACTGCTGGGAGATGAAAAGGGAGCTGGGAAGGAATAAGGCACATCCAAAACCAAACAAAAAGTGCGCACGGTTTGTAAACACAGCATGTAGAGCTTTCACAGGGCTGTCCCCAGTGCCCCTGCCCTTCTCTCCTAATGCAGTTTCAATAGACTTTAATACAGCACACAGATTAGGGTGGCTGTCACTTAAAGCCAAGGCAACTCAGTAGGAGGAAGTTCCAGGCTTGCCAAACAGCCACTGCTTTTGCTGCAAGCACAGTTTTTCCTCAGCCTGACTGAGTCCATTCCTTGTCCCCTCCGTTCCTCTGGAGCTGGTGGCATGCCACTGTCACCCTTATGCTGGGTCCACACTTGTGCCTCCCTGTCTGCCAGCTCTGAGCAGCCCTTTGGATCCCATACTGCTGAAGCCTTTGCCTCCTGAAATGTGACGGTACCAAAGCAGGAAATCTGATTTGAGGGAATCTTCCCTCCCAGCTCTGCTCACTGAGCTGAATGCAATACAAACCAGTTTCAGGTTCTGTGAAGAACTTTGCAGGCACAGGCTGACTTACAGCTTTAGGCTGTGGGCAGTGCTACCACTCTGGCACTGAGCAGTGTGTTACACTGGGAAGCTTCACAGTGCACAGTTGAGCACACCTGTGTATTCTGTGCTGGGCGGTTGAGGCTGGTTGCATGAACCAAAATCCATGCCAACCAGCTAGCAGCCCCTCCTTTCCCCTGCCTCACCATTACTAGGCCAGAGAAACACATCCACGCTGTAGCATGCATGAAGCTCCGCTCGGCCCCTGCTGCAGATGGGAGTGCCGGACAGAGCACAGCCGCTGCAGCGTCTACAGCCACGTGGGCCGCTCCTCGCTCACCGTGCTGAGGCTGGGACCGACCCACGCTGAGGCCGGGAGTCCCGGTAAGTGCCCTTTGTTTTGGTCTTCTACTTTTCCCCCGCCTGTGAAGCATCTGTTGGTAATTAAGCGCACATTTCAGCCCGCCTCCTGAGCGGCAAGCAGGCACATATGGAGCAACACATGTGCGACGCGCAGCCCGCATCACCCCCTGCAGCAGCTGCTGAAGTCGGCACGTGCCACCTCCCGCAGCTCGCGTGCTGCCTGCAGGCCCGGCGCCCCGCACACGCCGAGGGCGCGCGTGGCTGCCCCCTCCCCACGGCTCCCTGAGAGGCGCTGGCTCCGCTTTCTGGATGCCCAGACGTACATTGTCCTCAAGGAGGCTCGGCCGAGGCGTTGCTGTCCGGCACCCGGGGAGGAGTGTTGCTCGTTTCCTGCCCCTTCTGGCTTGGGCATTCTGGAGTTCTCTCCTCACCAGAGAGACAGCCCCATGGAGCATATGGAGCTCTGGTGAGCTTGCAGCTTGGTGATGCTCTACATAAACCACAGTGACCGCACCTGTAATGAAGGTGGATCATGTGAAGTGTGCTGGTTTTAGACCTGGGAAGTATGTGGTGGTGCTTGCAAACACCTTTTTGTTACAACTGGGAAAGCGTCTGTGCTGCAAATACTTTGTTTTTCAAGATGAGTGCGCTTCCCTGCAAGTAAGTTATTGTTCTAACACTGGAACGTTCCAGCTGGTGGCCAGTGACAAAGCCAGAGACACTGACAGCTGGGGAAGGAGTGAGATCTGACTGGCTGCCCCACTGAGGCCCACAGCAATTAAGTGCCAGGAAACCACAGCTGGAGGTGGGTGAGATGGGGCTCTCTTGGGGCTTTCCCCAAAGGACCAGCTGAACACCAAATTGCCCATCAGCTGTGGTACTGCTTTTTATCACAAAATAAAGAGAAAAACAACTGGACATTTTCCACATGTAAGCATCTCCAGAAAGGCAGTGTGACTTACTCCAAAGCTGTCTTGTGGTCCTCTGTAGGGAACTGCTCACAGTGGTGGCAGCAGCAGCTCATCCAGGAGCCACGCTGCCAGCAGCCCTCACTCCCTGCAGCAGCACCTGGGGAACGTGCAGCTGCTCAGCTGAAGTGAGAGCCTCCGCAGAACAGGGAAAACAGAGTTTTCTCTAGACTATTACTTGCCTTTAATTAGTGCTAAATTAAGCTGTTTCAATTAGTTTTCACCCTGTAACTCCTGTCCAGAGACAGGTAATGCAGGTATGCGCTGTTATCTCAGCAGGGAGGCAGCTGGTGACAAGGGGAAGCAGGAGCACGGCAGCTGCCCCTTGCACAGTGCAAGGCAGAAGAGGATGTTTCTTTACCACAGTCAGCAGACGCTGCTGCAAGTGGCAGCTTCCTGGCACTGTGCTATTACTTCGTGGAAGCAGCCAGAGTAAGGTCAGGTCAAGTAAAAGCCCTTGGCATGCCCAGAGAGCTGTGTTGCCTTACCCGCCTTGTGCAGGCAGCAGGGCTGGCTTACAGCTGCTGTCAGCACAGTGCTCCAGCATGGGTTGGAAGTGGAGAGAATAACTGAACCCACTCTTAAAGTGAAATATTGAAATAGGTGTTTTCTAGGAAATGTGGCTGAGGGAAGCTGCTCAGCATCGAGACTCGGTCTGTAAATACACAGGACCTACATAGCATTACCAGCTAAGTTTAGAAAACAGACAAAAAAAAGTCAAACGCTAAAAATAAGAATCAGTTTGAAGTCACTAACTTAAAAAAAAAAAAGTACAAAGGACTGACTATGTCAGCTTGTTTTATTACTGGGCGCACAGCACCAGTGCATATACATACAAGCCACAGTAATGGAAACATTCCCTATTTTTTATTTTTTATTTTAAAAAAGAACAATGTTTGGGAGGAGTCAAGTGTCCTAGAGGTCAGCTCTCAGGAGTTCTTTTGCTAATTGCAGCAGCAGCAGTTTCCTTTCCAAATACTATAAGTTTTCATGCTGTTAATATGTAAAGCTGAGAAGCCTGAGCTTGCAGCAGTACCTCTGCTTCTCCTGACAAAGCAGGATCCAGGATTGCATTACGTTCAGTGATGGTCCTTTACAGTTAAGTACAAGTCTACCAAGCACAGTTCTGGGTATGAAGCTGGAACCCTCAGGTTCTTCTCCGAAAGCCCACGTTACCTTAAAGCACCAGAGGGCAATTCAGTACAGGGCTGGTTAAAGTGCTGCTGCATCAGACAGCTCTCCCACAACTTCTACACAGGACCTTACAGCATCAGCTGAGCCTGCAGCAGCACAAGGTCAGTGAAGTCTAGGGCAAAGCTGCTGTCACTGATACAGGCTCAGTGCCTCAGGAAACTGAGCTAAAGCAAGAAGGCACCAATGCAAAGGTGAGCATGGGCTGCATCCTACAGTGGCATATAAGCAGCCTGACACCTCTCCTAAGGAGACACACAACACATAATAAATACAACATAACAGTTTAGAAAAGTAAGTGCATTAGTGTGATCCTTTGCAACACCAGGAAGTAGGACCCACAGAGGCACATTCACTTTGTATTGCACTGGAGGTGGGACGTGGGAGGGAAAAAAATCATTTGGCAGAGCCTGCCCAAGCTCTACCACCATGCAACAGCTTTGGACAGCCTGAGGTAGAACACAAATATACTGCTAAAACCCAGTCAAGTCCTGCTCAACTAGTCTTTGAGGTTTTTTAAAAAAAATAAAGAATAAAAGAAGTGCACAGAGGAGCCTCTTTCCCCTCCTGAGGAAGCACACGCTCCAGATCTCACCCCAAAAATCAAGCCTTAGGGCACAGCTGTAGTCAGATCCCCGCTTCCCACCTGGAAAGTGGTGATGGCTGCAGGCAAGGATGTAACAGGAACCGTGCAGCCCCTTTGCCTCCTCCCTCCCTCCCTCCCGCTCCTTTTCCTTTCGTCCACTCAGCCCTGTATGTTTCTGTCAGAGCTCAGGCCGTCCCGATCGTTTCGTCCCTCCTACTGGAGCCCTGCAAGAAGTTCTCCCTTTCGGCCTTCTGCGGGACGCCGGGCGCTTCCTCCAGGGCTTTCTCCGAGTGGCACAAGCAGGGCAGGAGGGCAATGAGGGCCTCTTCGATGGAGAAGAGGTGCTTGTCCTCCACCTGCGGGCAGAAGTAGCGCATGAAGTCCGCCAGCCGCAGGAGGTACTCCACGTTGTGGCCCGCGCAGCCCCTCGAGACGATGATCTGCGCCGCGATGTCTTCTTCGGACGCCGGGCCGAGGTAGGAGGGGTTCTGCGGCGTGGCGATGTAGACGAGGGCCTGGATGGGCTCCCCCGCCTCCTTGTCCTGCGGGTGGAAGCTGACCAGCTTGGTGTCGTAGCCGCCCAGCACGGCTTCGCGCACGTTCAGGTACTGCAGCGAGGCGGCGACCTGCTGCTCCCCGCACACCTCGTAGGCGACGCCCCACGTGCACGCCTGCAACGAGAGGATGGGCGGTCGCACCCCGGGGACGTCGCACCTGCCCGCGGCCCCCAGCGCGGCACCGGCCGCCCTACTCACCCCGCAGTCCTCCAGCAGCGTCACCACCCGGCCCGGCTGTGGGGAGAGAGAGAGGAGACGGCGTTACAGCCCGCTGCCGGCCGCCCGGCCGCCCCGCGGCGCCCCGCGTCCCGCCCCGCGCTTACCGCCCGCTCGCTGCCGCGATGGAAGGTGTCCCCCTGCCAGAAGCGCCGGCTGTAGCCGCGGATGAAGCCCACCTTCCGCGACGTGAACTCGAAGCCCGGCCTCCACACCAGCGAGCCGTACCCGAAGATCCACAGCCGCGGCTTGAGCTCGGCGGCCGGGTCCGAGGAGGAAGGTGCCGAGGGAGGCTCCGGCCCCTCGGGCCGGCCCGGGTACTCCTGGGTGCTCTGCGCGTCCCGCTTCATTGCGCCGGGCGCTGTTGGGGATGCACGCGTCGCCCCGGCCCTTTAAAGACCGCAGCGGCGTCGCCCCGCCCGGCCGGCCCGGCCCATTGCGGGTGATGCAACGAGGGCGGGCTGTTTCGCCGCTCCGCGCCGCGCATGGGGCAAAGCGGGGCGCGGGTTGCGTCAGGCGGGGCCGTTACCCGCAGCGCTCGCCCTGCCGGCGGCGGGGCCGGCTGTGCGTGAGCGGGCGGAGCGGTGGGCACCGAGCGGGTGAAGCGACGGAGCTGGGAAGCGCGCGGGTCAGACGGGAGTTGTAAGGCGAACCCAAAGGCGGGGGAATGGGGCAGGATGCAGCGCGGGCTCCCAGCCCACGAGCTTTCTGTGCGTGAGCGCTGCGCTTGGGACGGCGTTCAGCCCGCGCCGAGGTTGGGCACACGATACAAAATCGTTCGTTTTGGTGGCGGCGGAAACACAGAACCGCTCCTCATTGTTCTGTCCCCTGCACTCATCACTTCACACGGCCCGTCCGCGCTCCTCGCTTCAGCTTCCTGTTGGCCCTCCTCCAGCGGGCCCCCACCTCTCGGTCCCACGTAACAGGGCGTTCCAGCTACGGTACACACGGCGCGGGCAGCACCCTGGACCTTGGCACCCGCGCTGTGGGTGACAAAACGGTGCGGCCGTCTCATCTGCCCTACCAGGCCTTATATAGAGCGTGCCCTGCTCCTCAGTCCCGGTGTGCCCTGCTCCGTGCCCAGGGTGACCCGTCACAAGGTCAGCTCTAATGGAGCGACAGACAAATCAGTGTCTAAGAGATAAAGTGAAGAAGATTTTGCTAGGTTCTGTTCTTAGAGAAAGTGGTAAAAAAAATCTAGCCTCTTTATCCAGCTTTCCTCAGGATGTCAATGTTATCCATCTGAGAAATGAGTTGTGTTGGGCATCAGTCTCACAAGGGAAGCAACCGCTCCTTTATCTGTTGGCACAAGCTAAGGAATAACGCATAAAGAAATAAAATACGCTGCTGGGAAGTGGCTGCATGCTTGCTGAGTAAGGGAGAGAAATAGCTCCTTTCCATTTCCATCATTTGCAGCCAGGAACTGATGCCTAAAGCAAGACCCGCAGGGGGCCTGATTCAGATCCCACACCTGCTGAATGCTGCAGGTCTCTGCTCCCTTCAGTGCTGTTACACCCAGAGCAATTAGGTTTGAGGTTAGAAACTCATTTTGAAGTCAAGTATCTGATTTTCTTGAGTAAAGGTGTTGGAATATTGCTCTATCATTAGGAGAACAGCCTGGGGAAAAACTGCGTTTGAAGCTGAGTCGTGTGCAGCAAGACTTGAGGAATGCTGTTGATTTCAAGCTTTCGTTAATGTGTTTCTCATTGCTGCCTATACCTTCCTTTTACTTCGGTTAAAACAAAGGTTGTGAGGATCGGTGGGGATGAAGAGGCTGAGCAGCACACATGGGAGGTAAGGAGAGCAGTGGGTACTAAAGGGAAGATTGTGTGTCTGTCAGTGCTGTTGTAGCTTGTGTTCGTAAGGTAAGGAGAGCAGCCTCCAAACTAAGCCACTGTAATGGTCAGGTAGGTGTGAGGGAGAATGCAGTGTGGCAATGGAGGAACAGGATGGAGCTTCAGGAGTGAAGTAGAAGGTGGTGGAAAAAAACGTAGGTATCAAACAATATGAGAGTGACAAGAGGAAAAAATGAATGCGAAATAGTGGCCAACTATTAAAAAATGCACAAATTTCTCCCTGCTGTTAAGCATTTTTTTATTACTATTTTTGCTTACCTTCAGGAAGGGGGACAAAAGCCAACTGTAGCTTTACTTGTGACATCCTGAAACTGGTTTACTCAGGCTGCAGGAAAATAAAGACCTAGTTTCTCTTTAGCACTATATTCTGTACTTCCCCAGTGTGAGCATCCTCCATGTCAGTGCCCGTGACTAATGCTGTGCCACTGCTGCCTGTTTTTCAGGATAGCAGTGAATCATCACAGAGCCAGAGGAACCAAGAGCGGGGCTGGCGTGACACACAGCAGTGGATTGAAACCGTCATTAGCTTCATCTTGCATTTCGGGCTCTCATTATGGGGCTCAAGAAGCTGAGGACACACAGTGGGTTTTACCAAAACTTGTTCTTCTCAGCAGGCACAGACTGGGGATGGGAAGACTGCTGTTCATTTTCAGATGCCACGTCTTCCACCATCAACTTGGCAGCGCTTCCCTCTATCTACAGTGAGCAAACAAGAGATTCTAAAGAACACATCTGCCCCTTTTCCTTAAGGCTTCAGTAAAGATTACAGCTATTGTGAAGTTCAAACAATGCCACAAAAATTCTCTAGTGATGTAAATCAATAACCAATCCCCTGATATCTAGGTTGCCACATCCACACACATCAGAGTATCTTACTTCTGTCTGTTGAACCCAACTCTTACGGCATTTATGAATCTGTTATCAGATAGGAGCATATAATGTATGAATACACAGATGTCCGTGCTTCAAACACATGCAGATGAAAATGGCATTGTTAAAGCTTCTAGATAAGACCTTGGGGATCAGGAATGTTTTATGGAAGAGTAGGCAGTGGTTATTTGGACTTGTTTGCTGCGTCTAAAGAGAAGGCACTGTCATTACCAACTGCTTAACTCTGGGAATAAGCGCAGTCCTGAGCAAAGAGAATGGAAAAAAAAATAGCAAAGCATTTACCAGAAGTTTAAGGAGAACTACCTTAACTCTAGGAGATACAGTACTCTAAGGGCTCCAGACTGAAAAACAAAAGCCTGTGCAACCAGGATGACAGTTTCTATGCACACAGAGCACCTTTTCAGGTGAGAAGCAAAGCAATGAAACATGACTCCACATCCAGGCACCATGCATATCAACAGTAATAATAGGTTTAGTAGTTTGGAGGATATTATGCGGGACAGAACAATAGGTTTAGTAGTTTGGAGGATGTTACTCAGGACAGAACTTGAGCTGCTGATCCTCCTCAGCGCTGTGGCTGCTTCATCTCTGATGGTGGTCAGTTGTGCTGGTAGTTTTTGCCCAACTCATACCCCGGTGACTGCTGCATGCCCATAGATAGGGATGGATTTTCAGTTGTGACAGACTTGATTTGGATATAAACTAGATCCATGTGGGGGAAAATAAAAGAAAAAGAAAATAAAAAGTAATCCATTGATCCAAAAGAAAGTTCTCACATCCGTTCCCATGTCCTAGTAGTTTACTGTCCTACAAAGAAAACCCTGCATTAACTTTTTGGCTTTTGAGTCTTGTACACAGAAGGAACCTGCAGCAATATGGCCTTTGTGAACTTCCCCTTCCATTCTCACTTGGAGCTTGGGGACAGTTTGGGCCTAGTGGCAGGATCTGGTCTCATTGACTCTGGTCAATCTGCTGCTGTATCAGCTGAGTACAGAACCTTCCCGTGAACCCACTGCATCTCAAGCCAGAAGCTCATCCAAGTGCCAGGCCGTGAGCCAGGAACTGGATTGACTCACAGTGGTGCACTGTAACTCGCTGTACTTGGCTCCCCATGGCCTGGCCTTGCTGCCCAGGCATGTGCTGACACCCAGGAGGGTATTCTGAGGAACTGGGTGGATGTGCATGGCAGCAGCTTTGCAATAAGACTGTGACAAGAGATGGCAAGGCTCACATGGGTTGGACTGGGAACCTCAGCCTCAGCTACAAATGTCAGCACCTCATCCAGGCTGCTTCAGTGGCATGGTTTAGTTTCACTTTGGGCATAAAGAGAAGAAAAAAATGGGCTTATGGCTAAAATTTTATTTTAACAAAGTAGATCTGGAGAAAACTGAAGGAACTGACAGAAACAGGTAAACTGAATGTTGAAAAGTGGAAGACCCTCAGTCAAAGGCAGAAGCAGATCTGTAATTAGCAGCCTTAGTGGGGAAGGACAGGTGCTTAGGGAAATAACCCCTGAATTCAGACAGGGTATAAGAAGTATTAGGACGCTCATGCAGGATGGAAAAGGACTCCCTTCGGCACTTTGCTGAGCTTAAAAAAAAACAAAAAAATGTACTGTACTTGAAGAAAAAGCAATGTTCCTAAAGCTCCTGTGCTTGTGTCAAGGAAGGTGAAAGAACAGGCACACTGAGCGTTCATAAGCAAGGAATGTAAATATATTCAAGTGGAGCAGGCACCACATGACTGGAAAACAGAACAGTTCTCGTATCTGAGGCATGAAAAATATAACGTAGTGTAGAAAACCAAAGACCTGTTAGCCTGGCCTTGGTAACACAACAGCTTCTAGTATGTGCTTTGCTAGGAAAAATAACTTGGGATGTAAATATAATTGAAACGCACATTAGACTTAGCAAAACAGTTCACTGCAAACTAACTTCACAGCTTTCTTTAATAAATGACACTTGTAGACAAGAGAATGTACAGTAGATTCTGTTTATCTAGGTGTCAGCAAAGTATTCTGTAGGGTGGTGCTTGGCAAGCTATTAGCTGTGCCATAGCCAGGAGCTGGTGAAAGGGAGATGACTGAAGTGATGAAGAGAAGCAAAGCAGGGTGCATCAGCTGGGTACTGTTGTCTTGCAGTGCAGCTGTGTGGTTCCAGGGCACGTCAGGGCAATCTCTGCCTGATCAATGGGAGTTGAATTTTTTGTGGGCTATTGTGCAGCAGCATCAACTGACAGACTGTTTGCAGTTCCAAAGAAAAATGAAAGCACAGACAGAAGAGGGAAGAGCTGCTAGAATGAAGAGGGTGACAAAGAGCCCTCCTTCCTGGAGGCTGCTAGATTGCTTAGTCTGGCCATACGTAAACAGGGAAATAGGACTGTTTTACATCACAGGGTTTACCCCAGTGTCTGGGGAGAAAGGGAGAGAAGGAAGCTGTTGTGTTCAAACTGAACTGGCACAAAAGTACATGAACATTATGTGGACAGGGAAGGCTTAGCCTGCAGATCAAAGAGAACATCCTGACCTGTAGAGAAGCAAGCTTTTGGTATCACATGCCCACTTCCCCATATGGAAAACCAGCAACAGAAAAGGACCCACTTTATCTTGATTTAACTGCAACAGAGGTCATGCAATGCCATTATGTCTGTTACCTATCTCTCCATCCAGCGCATCTGAAAAACAGAAAGTTTCCACGTGAGGAGCACCA